CGCAGGAAAGAACTTTAGCAGGTTTTTCAGTACCCAGAGATGACCCCAGTAAGCCAATTTGCCAGCAGGGTTACACAAAACCCACAGCACGTGTGGAGATCCCGAATTTGGGATGGACAGAGCCCCATGGGGCTGTGGCTCAGCACACCAAACAGGAACCTGCTGCCCCTCCAGAGGACACCAGCACAGCCTCTTCTGACCACTGTGCGCCAGACCGCACAGGAGCAGCTCCTGAGCTGGATACTAGGTGCTAGAGCAGCTCCAGTTCTGGGAAGGACAAGGCATCAGCTAAGGCACACTCCACTGGGACCAGCTTCTGCAAGGGTGTCCCTTCTGATCCCTTGTGACACTGCACAGGGAGATCTGTGGCAAGATGGGAGCTTCAGGGCATCCCTCACTATGCAAGGTCACAAGCTGGCTCTGCTGCCCAATTCTCAAACCACCCCACCACATTGCGGAGGACTGCTCCTGCCCCACAGACACAAACCTCGCCCTGTGTGAGGAAGTTGGCCATGAGGGCTCCATTCACGGCGTTCTCCAAGGCACAATCTGAAAAGATGATAAGGGGGGATTTTCCCCCTAGCTCTAGGGTGACTGGTTTGATCCCTTTAGCTGCCATCTCCATGATCTGAGAGAAACAAGGACAGAAGATACAAGTGACCCACTGGTAAATGGGAGGCTGGCAGAGGGAGGTACAAGACACCCAAGGGGAGAGTTCCCACAGGGCCCTTCAAAAACAGATGCAGCACAAAGGGCAAGCTGGGTTTCCTAGATGTGTTTAGTTCAGACTGGGGACAGTCTCAGAGGGTTTTGGCGCCCCCCCCCCCCTTTTTTTTTTTTTTTAGATAAAAGCAAGAAAACCTGAGGAGTCATTTGCAGGAAGTCTCACCCAGAGGACAGTTGTAACTCCCCCTGTGTCACTGCACCCCACAGGTACACACATATAAGGGGAGTTCCAGGGGCAACATTCCCCCTCTTTCAAATCAAAATTTATTTTTAAAAGTCTTTTTAGGGACTTTTAACTTTTTGAAGAATAGTTTCTGTGAATTTCTTGCCCTCAAGTTAACGTCTTGCTTAAAACCAGTAAGTTGTATGCAGCTAAACCAAACTATTACTGGCAGAAATGCTCACACATTTTCCCAGCGCTGCTCTATTTTACACACCCTCCTCCCCACATAGATACCCACTTTAGCAGCTCAGAGACTTCACTGCAACCAGGGGCTAAACAAGTGAAGATGACCATGGGGCTCCTCTGAAAGGACTGAGTGCCCAAGCTCAATACCCAGTGGGCTAACTGGAGCCCCACTGTAACCCTGTATGCGCAAGCTGCTTGCTCAGACCCAAAAATGCCAACTCGCACCCTATCTTTAGAAGTCTCACGCACAAAAGCTCAAGGAGGTATCAATGTCCACAGCACACTAGGAAGGCTGGCACTACAGATCCCGTGTGTCCCCAGATGAGAAGGTGCCTTTACCTTGACGCCAGTTGGCACACTGCCAGTGAAAGAGATTTTGGCCACATCTGGGTGATGACAGAGGAACTGGCCTGTGGCCGCTCCACCCTGCACCACGTTGAAGAGCCCCTTGGGCACACCAGCCTCTGTGAAGATCTCTGCCAACCTCACCACCGAAATAGGGGTGAAGGGAGAGGGCTTGAAGACCATCGCGTTGCCTAGGGGAACCCAGACAAAGGCAAGGTGGGGTCAACAGCCAAACTGCTTTAGGGAAAAGGATAACAAACAAACAAACCGCCCCACACAATGAGTGTGTCTCAACAGATCCCAGAAGTTGCCCCCCCAAAAGATGAGGAAACATTTTCAGCTGAACACTGCAACCAGCAAAAGGAAGGAACAGCACCTTCCTGCTGGAAAGGGCTGGGGGAGATGGGGCTGCTGGTCCTGCACTGCAGACATTTCCAGAGACCTTCCTCAACTGGTACAAAGCCAAGCAATCAGCCTTTTTCCTGATGCACTTCTGCCCTCTTAGCGTCTGCCGTGTTCCCACTTCCATTTCCTTTCCCTTCCTGCCAGAGTAACAGCCTGAAGGTTCTGCTAATCCTTCAACACCTCCTTCAAGGTAATCTTAGACTTTATTCCCCAAATCACTCTCCCACACAGGATCATTTGGCTTCAAAGAGAAGCTTGTGTGGGCAGAGCATCTCCATTACCGCAAGCCAAGGCCGGCGCAGACTTCCAGCAGGCAATCTGGAAAGGGTAATTCCAGGCTCCAATTCCCACACACACACCAAGGGGCTCTCTGCGAGTGTACCCAAAGGATCCCCCGGGAAGTTGGATGTGTTCACCTGCAAAGAAGAAAAACAGCCAGAAGGTAGAGGAGAGCAAAGCCCCTTCCTGTCTTATCAGAGCCTCAGGGGCCAGATCTTGCTTTGACTGGGAAGAAGAGACACACAGCTTTTGCCCCAGCAAGCTGACAGAAGGTACACAAGTGCCCACAGAGCACAGCAGCATTAGGTAGAGATCTCTGAAAATCCTTCCAAGATCTTCAGAACAAGGAGTAGTCTCTCTCTTAGAGAAATCAACAGCAAAGATGGTCTTGTGCCATGAAAATTACTGGGGAACACGAGTGGCAGGACAGACAGTAAAGAACAAACTCCAGTTACATTCTCACCAGCTAGAGATCCTGCCAGTCCTGCATAATACTCCAGGCACTGCCAGGATATGTCAATGTCCACTCTGGCTTCAAAGATGGATTTCCCATTGTTGATGGTTTCCAAGGTGGCAATTTCTTCTCTCTGCTCCTGTGAGAGGCACAGGACAGCAACAACGTTAGATAAGCCTGTAGCAGAACTCTACAAGGAGACAGCTGCTTCCCGAGCATGCAAGTCCCAAACAAGGTTCTGCCATCAGTAAGCCAGGCTCTGCCATGAGAAACTGTCATCTCTAGAAGGTACAGCTCCAATTGCTATTTATCAGTTCCACAGTGGTGACCGATCGCAGGGGAATATCAAACAGACAACTGCTGTGGTTTACTGCTAGTCCAGTCTTGCTTAACATTGCTGTTTACCTAAGAAGTTAAGCAAACTTGAACAAAGAAACCAGCTGGTAAACAGTGATTAGAATTCACAGAACTAGATGGGGGGGAGGGAGACACGGATGGACACAGGACGGACAGCAAACAGCAAGATCAAAATGGAACGAGAGGACTTAGTGAAGGATGAACAAAGCAATGCAGCTGGGAAACGTTCTTTAACAGACCAACGCCCTGGCAGAAATATTATCCTGCTGCGGAAGTTTGGCAGAAAGAAAACATTTTTCTCATCACATAAACACACTGGGGAAAGAAGGTCTGGTTTCTTACAGACCTGTGCCTTAATAGGGAATAACTTCGATGTCCAAGAACACATTATCTCACAAAGCAGTTTGTGATAAAGCTATCTTATTTGTATCCTCTCCCATGTGTATTATCTGGTGTCTAAAATAAAAACCAGTATTCCTACATTTTTTCTTGCTAAAACAAGACACACTCCAATCACGTGACAACAGTGTCCAACAAGCTGAAAATTCAACAATGCAAGAGTTACACAATTTCAGCTTTGAAATCATGTGCAGAGAAGTTTAATCTTTGGATTAAGTACAAGCCCTGTGACAGCTCAACTGGATAGCTTCAGTTTTATGTCTTCTAACAGAATTAAGCAGAGACGGTACACACTGGCTTTGAACAGAGTGATAAGACCAAAGCCCTGCCCAAGGCAACCTACTGTCTCTTCTGGTCAAAGGGGGGTTTTAACTCCTGCATGCCTGCTGGAGCTCTGGAGGTCCTCCTGGAAGCCCCCAGCACCCACATTAACCTACAAGAAAGCTCAGAGACAGAACCTCCCGTCTCCTAGAGAGGAAGTGAGCTCCCACAACATACCCGAATAATTCTGGCAGCCTCCAGCAGCACCCTGCTCCGCTCCATGCCAGACATCTGACTCCATATTTTAAAGGCAGCCTTCGCATTCTGCACAGCCAGATCCACTTCCTTCTCTCCAGAGCAAAGCAGCTTGCTTATCACACGACCTGGGCACATTTTACACGAGAAATAAGATAGAAAGCTCAGAAGAGGGGAACAAAATAACATGTGTCATTTTGCATCAAATGCCAAAGACTTCAGTCCAGCCACCTATGCCAGGCTACAGAACTTCATGCTATGGTTCCCGCTTATTTGTAACTGGCTATAGAAGAGGTGCTGCAATTCAGTTGGCCTAAGTGAAAGGATCTGCCATTCTCCACAGTCGTGTTCTAGTTACTAATTAGCTCCAAGTGTTACAAAATTCCTCTGCTTCCCACGGGAATATGTTCTACTTCTACCACCAGCTTCAGGACTCTTGTTACACATTCCTCAGCAAAGTTAATACTCTCTTTCTTTAAGTGATTCTACTGAAACCTAGGAATCTCCAGTTAG